CTCATGGTTTCAGAGGTTTGATTTTTGGTCAACTGATTCCATAGCTCTGGACCTGAGGTGAGGCAGAACATCATGATGGAAGGGTGTGGCAGGAGGAAGCATCTCAGGACATGGCAACCAGGAAGCAGAAAGAGAGCTCTGTTCACCAGAGATGAAATATAAATCCTAAAGGTGTACCCCTAGTGATCTACTTTTTCTAGCCATACCCTACCTGCCTACAGTTATCACCTGGGTAACCCACATCAGTGGATTAATCCACTAGTTAGGTTATAGCTCTCATAATCTAATCATTTCACCTCTGAGTATTCTTGCATTGTCCCACACATAAGCTTTTGGTGGACACCTCATATTTAAACCATAATAGTAGTACGCGTTCTCCTATTGATTAGTCACAGAAATGATTCTAGTATACCACATAGATTGAAGAAGAGCTGTCTTTTTATCATGGGACTTTCCATCAGCTCAATCAAATAACTTGGACTTCACTTATAGGTAATTTTGCCAACTACCAAATTACTTTGATACACTGCATTTCCAAGACCCATTCACCTGTTTAGTATCATGTCTTCTCATTTTTTCCATTTTATTAACGTGACTAAAATTCTTTATTTAATCACATATGAATATGCATTAAAGAAATCAGAATGAAATACTTTTTCATTCTTTGGAGTTAAATTCCATTTTTCTATTCCTTGGGTGTTTCAGTAGGATTGGGTAATCCAAACTGTTATATTTAAAATTGATTATTTCTGAAATTCTTCTATGTACTTTGTTTACAGATAATCTTTTTCAGTTCAGGCTTGATACACATAGACAAATGTGTGCCAACTGTCTCCTTTTTATATTTGAGTGAATAACTGGAAGCAACGTGTGGCAGAAGGGGAAGAGAGGAAGGAAGGAATACAAACATGCTAATGACTTTGAATATTGCTTCTCCTCCATTCTACTCAAGTGAAAAAAAACAATTGCTGGTTCTTTATTCCTATTACTCTCCTAAGTACTTTTAAGTGTGTGCATAGTGTCTTTATAAATCCTCAATTGATTCCCATGTGTAAGATGCTTTACCTATCTCTTTCTCAATCATTTTCACCTTAAAAATCTCTAACTTTCCACTTCCCTTATTTTATTTAAATTACATGGTGGCACCAAAGCACACACATATATTGTCTTCACTGAGAAACAAGATTTGTATGAGCTTTCTGAGCCCCAAACAAGAGTTATGCTTGAATCCTAGTCCTTTTGACTATGGCATTACTATTCTGGTTTCGGTAATTCAGAGGCTCAGCTTTACAGTTTGGGCTTTCTGCATAATTCTATTTTCCACATATATGAACTATCCCACAAACGTAAATTAATTTGCAAATTCTAGGAATTCAACCTTCTGACAACTTTTATTTCTTGTTTAGTAGAGATGTTGCAGTTTAAACATGGATATTGATAAGCTAGAACCTCAAAAAAGGAAATCAGAATGATTCCATCTCTCTTTTTATGATACGCACTGTAAAACTGTCCACAAAATTAATATACTATAGTGAATATAACATTTATGTATATCTATACTGCACTAATTTTAAAAACTAGAATAGAAAAAAAACTCATAAAATAGAGGGAAAGTAATAGGAGGAGAGAGGAGGAGAAGAAAAGGGAAAGTACTGGGGACTGAATTGGAGCAAATTGTAGTTAACTTTTGTATAATTATGTCAAAATGAACCCCAATTTTATGTATAACTATACCAATAAAAATAAATAATAACAATTTTAAAATTTTGAAAAAGAGCGAGTCCCATGGCCGAAAGTTGTATCAGCTGTGTATCTTACCAAAACTAACATGTTAAAGGTATCTTTTATATATCTACAAGTTATCATCATCACTAATATTACTAGTATTATTATTATTACTTATTTCAGTGTTGAGTGTGAAGAAACTAGAGTTTCTCTAATTTTGTAAATAATAGTTTTGCCATTGAACAAAAAGCATGATGTGGCTAGATTGTTTCCCTCAGGGCTTGCAGACACTTTCTGTTGTCCCCAATGTGGTGGCCACATGTTTGTTTTTCAGCTGGCTGAGGGGTAGGCCAGAGAGAGTTTAGAGGAAATGAAAGAGAGAGAAAATGAACTAAGCTTTTCATTAGAGTATGTGACAATGAGTTATGTGTCATCTCCCCTGAGATATGTGTATATGTGTATCTGTTTTTAAAAGAAAATGAGTAGTGTTCACCACTACTGTTCTAATCAGTTATTTATATTCTGATAAAACTCTTTTAAGTCTGTTGAAGCTAATTTGAAAAAAAAAAAGGTCAACCTCATTCAGTTATCAATTTTTAGTGTTTATGTGTGGAAATCATCACTAAGGTATACCACAATTAAGGGTAAATGTGTCCAAAGAAATGCTTGTAACCAAAATAAATGTATATAGAATTTTACTGCTGGACAATATGTAAAAAAAATGAAAATTGTAGCATGAAGGCTTTAACTCACAAAAACAGTGTACCTGATGTTTTTAAAGTCCAACTAAAGGAATTATTTGATTAAATATTAAAAATCACAATCAAACATTGAAATGACTGAGTTGAAAATAGTGCAAATAACTGGAATATTCATAAAAATCAGATATTTTTAAACTAGTAAAAGTTCATTTGAAAAGATTTAAGTTAATCTTTGAATATTACAGATAACTAAGAAATAGAGAATCAGCCATACAAAATAGGAAACTTTTTTTATACCAAGGATTGAACCCAGGGGTGCTTAACCACTAAGCCACATCCCCAGCCCTTTTTCTTTTTTATTTTGAGAGAGCTATCACTAAGTTGCTAAGGGTAGCTTTGAACTTGTGATCCTCCTGCCTCAGCCTCTCAAGCCACTGGGATTACAGGTATATGCCACTGTGCCTGTCCAGGAACTGCTTTTGTCTGCCACTCTAACGGTATGATTTACATAGCAGAGGTCTTCCCCTAGGAGTCTGTGGTCAAGTAATAGCAGCTTCAGGCTTTTTTTTCTAGAGAATAAGCTGAGCCTTTTCAGCTGAGAGATAATTATACTCTATCCCTTCCTGCTTCTCCTATAATTTCATCTGTCTGTCTAAATTGTATACACCTGTTTCTTCTTTTTTTATGCCATCCTCCTTAGTGGGTTTGGAGAAAGTAATTTTAAGCACTGCCGCAAGTCTCTAAAATGACAGCTAGGGATGCCACTGACTATTATTTAGAAAGAATTCATTGTTGACATGAGAGGATTTGTATTTGAATTTTTATCTTCATCATACAAGCAATAGATTTGCCAATCCATTGGCAAGCTTCCGTCTAATATCCCTTTGTGACCAAGGAGGCTGTGTGGTCATGAGCAAAGCAAATCTAATTTGACTCAAAAAGAGCCAAACCATCATCCTGGACTCAGAATCATGTGATTTGATTAATTGAAAGAACCACAACCCCCTCAGTGTCAGTCAGAGTTCTTAGGTGGCAAACAACAGAAATTGACTCTGACCATGTTAAGCCACAAAGTAATGCATTGGAAAAAATGAAAGAAAAGCTAAAGAATCAGGTCTTGGAATGTACTGCTCAGGGGGGATTTACATTCAAGTCCTAACATATATTTTCTTTCATAATGACAGGAGCAATAATTTTGACCATGTGTCTTTCTACTTGAGATTTAAATTCTAGGAAGATGGTTTGATTAGCAAAACTAGGATTTCTGGACTCCTGCTTGAAGGGGAAAATATCATGAATGCTCAGACAGTCCCACCATGCGACTGGGGAGGGGAAGTTACCCAAAGAACATACAGTTGTTTTTAACAGAAAGAAAAGGAAAATGGATGTGAAGAGGTCAAATCAGCAGATGTATACCATACTACCAAAATATGGTGATTTGTTATGGAAAGACAGAGACCAACAGAAACAGGTGAATATCCAAATCTATGCAGACAGCCCAGAGATGAGATCAATAAAAATGTCATAAAAATCCGGTCGTATTAAATCAAACTACTTAGTAGCATTTTTTCTTTGAAATGACTCCAGCACTGCCCAACATTGAATGGTATGTGAATAACTAGTCTATGAAGCATCTCTTTCCAGTCAGCATAGTTTAATCTGCCTTCCCATTCTTCTTGTGGCCACTCCCACTCTCTTCTTTTTACCAACTCTGAACTCCAGGGTTGTTTCTTTCACAAACCATTTGTTTGGGTTGGAAAATAAATCAAACACCATGGTATACGTTATTGACTTTCAATATTTAACAGTGGTGATTTAAATTTCTTAAATCAAAAGTCTAATTAGATGTAGGAAAGACAAAGAAAAAAGTCAGATAAAAATGTTTGAGAATGCCTTCTGTGTACTCTCCTAGGCAGACTTGCTCTAGTTCCCTGGTCTGTGGTGGAAATGAAGGATGATTTTTCATTTCACTCAAGTACCAGGCCGGCATTTTCAAAAAGAGGTTTATTCAGCGGTTCAGCATTAGCAAGCTTTGTTCTCTGTAAAATTTGACTTTTTGTTATTAAAATATTCACTGTAGGAAACAGATTTGTAACCCATTTCTCATATTACCTACCCTCAGAAAAACAAAATTTGATATCCTGGGGTTTATTTGCTGAGGGCTCTGCCCATAAATCGAGTGAGTGTACATTGGGAAATTTGTCTGGTTAACTCCTTTATGGATGTGCATTAGTCACAACCGCCCCCCCTCCCCAACACACACTTTCGCCCCCAGCACCTCCCCACCTCCTGACTTCCCGCCTCTCCAGGGCTGGTGACCTAATAGCATTTTTCTCCATGCATATTTTGGCTTCGTCCCATGGCCTGGCTGCCTCCGTCTGTCTGAGTCTTTTGAAATTCCTGCATGTTCGCCCCAGATTAAGCCAAGCGTGTCTCAGGATGTGTGTTCCGTTTTGTTCTTTCCCCTTAACGCTCCCAGTGCAACGTGTCTGGGGGGAGGAGGACAGGACAGGGAGAAGAGGGAGGGGCAGAGACGAAGCGCTGTCCGCCTTGCACGTTTCCAATCGCATTACGTGAACAAATAGCGGAGGGGCAGCAGGGCCAGAACGGCTTGTGTAACTTTGCAAATGTGCCAGAAAGTTTAAAATCTCTCCTCCTTCCTTCACTCCAGACACTGCCCGCTCGCCGGGACCGCCGCGCCGCTCCCCGTCGCTTTCCAGAAGGACTGGGAAAGGGGAAAGACGGGTGCCACGTCCGAGGAGCTGCCCTGCCTGTCTAAAGGGTCTGCAGCCCACCGTTGGCACTGCTTTGTGGGTACTGAGATAACGGCACTCTGCTCGCCTCCCTGTTTAAAGATTTCTGCCTCCTTCGCGTGATTTGAGTCCCGTTTTAACTTTTTCTGAGAGCCAAGACCTCCTATAGAGGAGACAATCCGGTGAAGATGCGCTTCGCCTGGACCATGCTCCTCCTGGGGCCGCTGCAGCTCTGCCCCCTCCTGCGCTGCGCCCCGCAGGCCCCTGGTCAGCAGCAACCACCGCGCGAGCCACCGGCGGCTCCGGGAGCCTGGAGCCAGAGGATCCAATGGGAGAACAACGGGCAGGTGTTCAGCTTGCTGAGTCTGGGCTCACAGTACCAGCCGCAGCGCCGCCGGGGCCCCAGTGCCGCCGCCGCTGGAACAGACGGTGCCGCCGCACCGCAGCCGCGCACGCCGATCCTGCTGCTCCGGGACAATCGCACGGCCGCAGCACGGGCGCGAACCGCCAGCTCGTCAGGGGTCGCCACAGGTCGCCCCAGGCCCGACGCCCGCCACTGGTTTCAAGCCGGCTACTCATCTTCTGGGACCCGCGACGCTGGCGCCTCGCGCGCAGGTAACCGGACGGAGCCAGAACAGCTCCCGGAGCTCAGTAACCTGCGGCCGCCCAGCCACGTGGACCGCATGGTGGGCGACGACCCGTACAACCCCTACAAGTATTCTGACGACAACCCTTACTACAACTACTACGATACGTATGAGAGGCCCCGGCCTGGGAGCAGGTATCGACCCGGATACGGCACCGGCTATTTTCAGTACGGTAAGCACCCCCAATCCCCAGGGTAGCCAGAGTGCACCAGGTCCCCAACTATGTGGCTCCTCTACGTGGCTGTCTGGGCGCGGCGGGCCCCGGTCCCTGCTGATTCGACCCCTCCCCCCAAGCCTGCAGAGCCAGCTCTGGAATCTGGTGCAAACCGCACGCCTGGCTCCTTCAGCTTATTTTTCGCTTTGCTTCGCAACCAGGGGCGGGGGTTGGGGGGTGTAGCAAATTCTCTGGCTTCCCCCAGCCCTACTCTGCAGTTCTGGTGGGCTAAGGATGACAAATAAGGGATCTGAAGGGACCCAGACCCGAAGTAACTAGGCGCTCCTTTGTATCACTGCTGCGCTTGTTGCGTGCTGTCATTTAGGTCTCCCGGACCTGGTGCCCGACCCTTACTACATCCAAGCATCCACATACGTGCAGAAGATGGCTATGTACAACCTGAGATGCGCTGCGGAAGAAAACTGTCTGGCCAGGTACCAGCTGGGATCTCGGTGGCCCGGCTCTCATACCTTGGTGCCTGTTTCTCTATTACTTCTATTCAGACAGACCAGACCTAGGAAATGGGACAAGGGGTAGGAATAGATAAAGTGATACCTGACCTTCTGGGCATGTTGACCTGCATGAAGAATTAAAAGTTTTAAAGTTTCTATAGATTTGCCTCAAATTATGGTGGACCTAATCCTTATCCTGGCGACTGATAGTTTCATATTTTTTTTCTAAGACTCTTAAACTTTAGAACTAATAACTTTTTATAAACCAACTGTACAGAAATGTAGAAAAACATATTGTAACAAGAAGGGCTTGTTACTATTCCCTTAGAAGATTGGAGGTAAAATTGTCATTGAGGCACCCTCATTGGTAAACCCAAAGTTTTCCCTTTTTGTTTCAGGTCTAACTGAGTTGTTTTGATATTACTTCAGCCAGAATAAGACCATGAGCAGCTTTGTTTTGCCTTTAGTCCTAAAATAAAATAGCTATTAGGATATTGGTTCTCTGAGTTTGCACCTAGGAACCAGCAGAGGGAGCAAAAGATGTTTTGATGGGTCCCATAAATATGTTAACATGTAAAATAAGGTCAGGGATAGTATTAGAACATACACTCACATGAAATATGTTAGTCGGGGCACAGTGCTGATCACTTGTACATTTCTTCCACATTGTATCTTTGCAATTGTCAGGGTAGGGAATAGAAGAAATTCAACCTCATTTTCATTCCTAAGTCTTGTGTCACTCACACCATTGTCTTCCTCATGATATTACAGTAGTTTCCTTGTTTTGAAGATGTGAAGTTGCAAAATTATTTAACTAAGTTATGTGTGTTCTTTTAGAGTCATTTTCTCACTTTATTTCTTAGTTATCTGTTTAAAAGAAAATATTTTGTTAAATTCAAAGTTCCTAATAATTATAGATCATTTTTAATTTGGGATAATTTCCACCTCAGTTGTTCTTATGTTTAAACTTGAATTGATTTATGATACAAAGTTGGTTTCTCACACATAGATTTTTAGTGCAAGTTTTATTATGTTGTCACTTTTAAATTCTGAATTTTCACTGTTGTCTTTCATTCACTCAGTCATGAAGTATTCATTGAGTTCTGAGTACCCCAGAACTGTTGGGAGCTTGGCATTCAGCAATAAACAAAATAAACTGAACACCCTAACCTCTTGGAACTGATGGTGAAAGGATATAATATATGATGGAGTAGTTTTGTCTTAAGTTAAAAGTCTGTGAATATAATAATGTTTCTTTTTTCAAAATCACAGTTCAGCCTACAGAGCAGATGTAAGAGATTATGATCACAGGGTGCTGCTAAGATTTCCCCAAAGAGTAAAAAACCAAGGAACATCTGATTTCTTACCAAGTCGTCCAAGATATTCCTGGGAATGGCACAGTTGTCACCAGTAAGTACATGGGCTTCCTGACTTCTAAGTTGCCCTTTCATTTTTCAGATGATTATTGATGTGACAAATACAAGTCTTAAGTCTTATCCAAAAAGAGAAATTTGTTAAGATTTGTATTTAGAATTGTTTCTAAAATTTGACACAATCAAATAAGTCTGTCTTTAAGATCCTTCAACCAGTGATACCATTATCTTTTGAACTAAAACTTCAAGCACAGCTTTATCAAGACTTGAGAAGGCATAGCAATTGACTTCAATAACATTTACTCCAATATAGTTAGGATTTCTAAAAATGTTGATTACAGCCCAGATCATCTACAGTTAGCATTAAATAACATTTATTAAAACCACACATAGTTATCAAAAGGATCAGAGACCATTCTCAAAGGAAGATGTAAATTACATACTCCATAAGCTGAAAGTGACTTTTTCCATCTTTCAAAAGAGCTATATCAATCCCAGAGTGAATGCCCCTGATCCATACTAAATATAAGGATTTTCACATAAGGTAATGCCATCATCTGCCTTGGTGACTTACCCAGGTGTTCTTAACTGCCAGGAAATCCTGATGTTTGGCCTTAAACTTTCTGAAATTCGAGCCACTTCTTAGTGTCTTTTCCTTATGTGAAAATATGAATAGCTCAACATCTTCTAGCTAACAAAATGAGAAAAATAGATAGGAGCTTTCTAATTTTTCAGATAAAATAGAAATATTTCATTCCTAAGTAAAAGCTTATGCAGTTTAAATAATAGTGGTGGGTAAAACATGCCATTATTTCCCTATTGCATTTTAATAATGATTTTTAAATATGTGAGAAATCTATTTTTAAAAATCTCCAAAAACCTTCCAGAGTCATGTGCTGCTTCTTTTTTGGAATGAGGCATCGGCATTGACAGCCAACAGAAATATATCAGAGAAAAAAAATGGCAAAAAATGGCTATTTTTATTTAAGGACATATAATTGTCTCTTTATATTTAATATTCAAAGATAAAACAGGGTGTAAATAAAAAGCAAAAAATACCCAAACTAAGTCTGTTATCCTAGTAGCAATGTTAAAAGCTAATAATTTTGATAGATGTCTGTCCGAGGAAAGTGGAGCAATCTAGCATGAATCTCTCTTAAAGAAGATAAACTTGACCCCATTTACGATGTGAATCCAAATTTGTGAGCCAACAAATTACTGTCCTCTTGGCTTTCTCCGTATGCAACTGACCACTGTCTCTTTGTTTTGTGGGACACTAGACATTACCACAGCATGGACGAATTCAGCCACTATGATCTGCTTGATGCCAACACTCAGAGGAGAGTGGCTGAAGGTCACAAAGCAAGTTTCTGTCTTGAGGACACATCCTGTGACTATGGCTACCACAGACGCTTTGCATGTACAGCACACACACAGGTAAGCTGGCACCCTGAAATCAGAACCCACAGGTTTTAGAGACAAAACAGTAGCATACTGTTTTCTTTCTTTCCACCTCCTTTTATAAATGACTTCATTCTGAGTTCATTTTGTCAAGATGAAAAATAATATGAGAAAAGGTAAGTGATGGCTTGATGCATGTTACTTTTAAAGTGTTTCCAACTTTGCACCTGACCCCTTCTCATTGTCACAGGAGGTCAATATGTATCCACGATAATATGTTCCACAATGAGAAGCCAAATTTTACTTTCTGCAAATGTCTGAATGGTTCATAGCATCTGCACCCATTCTGTAGTCTTTAATTGATTATAAACAACTTTAAAAAAATATACCTCTGCTCCCTGAAAAGCCATTCTTTTTTTTCCCAACTTTTATGCTTAAAATAGAATAGTGATTGAGGCTAGCAAAAGGAGAGGAAATAAGTTTCTTAGAAAGCACTTTAAACACTCTTTCTTTTAATAATGCAAATAAGAACAGAAGGACACGTTTTTTTCTCCACACACATATATTTAATCCTACAGTATAATTGATGTCAGATGTTCTTTGGATGAATTTTTAAAAATAGTGCTGAACTAAGCAGTTTGTATGTCTTATAATAGGAAAATGTGTGTCAGTTAAAAGCCATGCCAGTATTTCCATATGAAACCCTAATTTGTAAAAGGACATTATAATTTTACTCCAGCCCAAATCTTGGCAAGGAGCATTAAATGCATGTAATCCAGGACACAAAAGGATCAGCAGCTGGCAACTTGGGAAGCAAATTTCAGGTCTGCGGCAGGAAGCTTTCTGGTGACCTAAATGTTACCATTACTTCTTTCTCTGAGTTTAGACCATCATAGCAATTGGAAGGGAAGAAGGTTAAATTAGACATATGTGTGTGGGTTGGGGGATAGTACTTATTCTTCAAGCAAAAGGAGATGTAACCTACCCACATACTCTACATGTGTTTATATAGATTTCATTTACATTCATTTATCAAGTCCCATAGCATCTGGTGTGCAGTGGACCTGGAGTTTATTCTCCCTTTTAGAAAAATAAACAGTTTGGACAGCTCACTCTGAGATGAAGTATTTGAATCTGGTATTGTAGGTATTTATAGCATTCCTAGTGCTTCCATTCCTTGGAGTGACCCACTTCATTTTATTTGGTAGCTTTCTTGTCAGTCATCCTCTGTATATGTATTATTCAACAATTGTGCACCAGCTCTGGCATTATGAATGATTTATGTATTTGTTTTTTTTCAGTAGATCAGTGTCTCTTGCCCATGAACTTCATTTAAAGGAAAAAACATTCTCACAAACCTCAAATGTTGGCTTAGTTTTATTATAAACCTTCTGAAATGTATTCAAGCGTAAATCTATGTATAGCTTCTATATATTTACATTCTTACTAATTCCTGTTCTTAGACCACAATTTATATAGTAAATATATACAAAACTAAAAATAGTCACTTAATCTCTTTACCCTAATGTAGTAAAAAGTTGTGTTTTGCAAAAACCAAATATCTAATTTAGATATCCAGGGCTAGGATTCATATTTAATCTGTTTTAAAATTTTGACTTTGAATATATGAAATGCCTATATGCTTAATGGTCTCATTTCCAGTTTTATGTTTGCCAATTCAAAAAACCAGAACTCATGCTTAAATTCTGCTAGCTAATCCTAGAGTGCCAATTCCAGCATTTATATTTGTTTATTCATTTATTATTTTTTATTGATTTTTTTAAAAAATAAATGACAGCAGAATGCATTACAAATTTTGTTACATGTATACAGCACAATTTTTCATATCTCTGGTTGTATTATTTTTGAGATGTGCTCTCACTATGTTGCTCAGGCTAGTCTGGAACTCCTGAGCTCAAGAGATCCTCCCACCTCAGCTTCCTAAGTAGCAGAGATTACAGGTCTACAGAGATTCCATGTCTACCACACACCTGGCTAATTCCATTGTTTTCAAAGCAGTTTTGTTCATTTAAATGACTAATATTAAGGGCTGGGGTTGTAGCTCAGTGGTAGAGCACTTGCTTCACATGTGTGAGGAATTGGGTTCAATTCTCATAGAAAAAATTTAAATAATAAAGATATTGGGCCCATCTAAAACTAAAAAAAAAATAAATAAAAGAGTATTATTAAAATTTGTCTTCAATAGCTATCTAATCCAATGAATCCTTTATAATGTCATGAATGTGGTAGTGTAGTAATACCAACAATAGGAGCAGCTAACACACGTATGATGTACCAGAATCAGAATTATGTGCAGTATCACACCAAAAAAAATAATTCTTCATTATGTATTTACTACTCCACATAGATGACATTTACTACTCAACATAGATGAAATATGGACCAAGGTAGGATTCCGGACAATAACTGTGGAATGTGGTTTTCCCTGCTGCAGTTCAGGTACTTTTGAGTTTGACTTGTCTGTGCTATCACGTGCTATATGACAGCACAGTTCTCACCACACTCTTCCCAAATCTAGCTACAGCCAAACCAGTCAGTGAAGCACACTAAGGTGATTTTGCTATCTGTTTGATTGCCAAAGTTATTTTAAGCATCAAAGCAATTTTGCGTGCTGAAATCAAATGGCAGCATTGAGTTAATATGATTGTAGCATCTTAAAATAAAAATACAAGAATTAAAATTTCTTGTGAAGAGCTAATAGAAATAATATATTCCCCAGATTCCAATTTTTGTTTCTTTTTATCCTGGGCCATCCAAGACACTTATTTATTTTTAACCTGAATATCTCAGCAAGTGGAATGTGTGGCATTTGCTAGTTTAGGTGTATGTCCATTCACTCAACAAAATATTTTAGTGATTATGTGAAATAGGGTATAGTATGGTAGTTAATGACAGACACTCTGGATCCTGTTTACTTAAACAAGCTCAATCATTTACGAGTTATAATTTAGAGAAAATACTAGCACCTTCTTCATATAGTTATGAGAATTTACATATGGAGCATGTTTAAGTTTCTGGCACATAATAATAATAAATGTTAGCTAATCAAAGATGCAACATAGATTCTACCCTTAGGGAACTTACAACCTCTAAATTAGATATATTCTTACATAGTATGATCGTAACCCAGAGAAGAAATGGATAACATTGCAAAAACTATCCATGACAAAAATATCAAGGGTACTCTGAATATAAGAAGGTCATTTCTAAGAGGGGAAAATGGGAGAGGGTTTCACTAATAAGACATTTGAGTTAATTGCCAAGTGACCTTTATTCCTGCTCTAGTAATATTCCAGAATTTTGGTGGAGGACTATTTTGTCACTTAAGATTGCATTTATCACTGGTAAGTTGTGACACTTTTAAGAAGGCAGGTATATTTCTACTTATTTTAGTACTGTGTCTTTTTTAACCAGAGGTGCTATGAAGCCGGGTAATATATACTATAGTTTTATATCAAACACTTTATAAATACTAACTGAAAATTTAATTTACAAATAACAGCGTATACTTTAGCACAATCTGACCATTCACCATCATTTTAGGTGTTCTGTTTTGTTTGTTTTAGGGGTTGAGTCCTGGCTGCTATGATACCTATGCTGCAGACATTGACTGCCAGTGGATTGACATTACAGATGTACAACCTGGAAACTACATTCTAAAGGTAGAGGCCTTGGAAAATATGTAATTTTTAAATGAAATTAATAGGCACCATTCTGTAGACTCAGATGATGATAAATCATGATTTTGGAGATAGTTAGACAATTTTTAAGCAACGTAGACATATGAAAATATTCTTATTTTAAAGAACATCATGGGAAGTTATACTGTTTTCTTCTATAATGTCTGCAGAGTTTAACCACTTGCTTATCTTAAACTCCCTTTCCAGCTTGTGTTAGCTAAATCACTTGCTAATGATTCCCACATAGTAGCTCTACAGAAATAGAAGGGAAAATGAGTACATAATGATCATGAAATCTTTAGCACAGATGCTGTTTGTGTTGCCTAGGTCAGTGTCAACCCCAGCTACCTGGTGCCTGAATCAGACTATACCAACAATGTTGTGCGCTGTGACATTCGCTACACAGGACATCATGCTTATGCCTCAGGCTGTACGATTTCACCGTAAGTCCTGTTTGCCTAATTAAGTAATTTTCTTTACAAAAAAGTTTTATTTATTTATTTGTGGTTTTTTTGGCCAGGTATTATACAACAACATGTGCCTATTTCAACTACTATAGCTTTCACTGTAAAGAAACCAAAGATCAAAATTGTTACATAGAATCAGTGCTATCACATAATTAGAACTGATTTGTGTGTGTGTGTGTGTGTGTGTGTGTGTAGAAAAGTGAGGACATACTATGGTTTTAGTCATCCTAAAGCTCAGTTTTCAAAATAAGACATACACATAGAACAAAGTGTTTACCCAGAAAGCTTGTGTGGTTCAGTATGTTAAAGTATTCAAAATGCAGTTCAGGTGAGATCATAGGAGCTCAATTGAGTTTCCTGCCCCTTCATACTCGGTGAAGGAGCTTTGAAGAAAGTCCTAGAGTTCTTCAAAGTACATTTTGAAAATCACTGTCTTTGGGTACAAGACAGTGATGAAGAGACCAGATGAACAGATGAAGAGACCAGATCCCTGGTCTGTGGAAACCCAGATTTCATAGGTTTATTTTTAGAACCACAGGTATTAAAGGGATATTCACAAAAGGAGAGGAAACCCTTGGTCCTGAAACCCTTTTTTGAATGAAGGCATAGAAGGAATCCTATCTACAAATGTGAACTAGGAGGTATTTTGATGCCTGCTTGCCAGTCTGTCCTGTCCCAAGCTATTATACTGCCTGTTCCTCTGTTGCTGGGTAATAGATCATAACTGTATATGCACCCTTACCTTATACTTCAAATAATTGGAAGACCCATAGGGTGGTACTGAACATGCATCTGCTTTGCTTTGATGGAGTGGTACTGGTATCTTTGAGTCATGCAGAAATGTATAGCATGATTTCATATGGAAGTTGGGACAGGGGTTTGCTGCACGTGAATCTGTAATTTGGTGGCTTTTCCAGGCCCATGGAAGTCTGGTTGTGCCAATTTTGCCCTACACCTGGGCTCCTGGCCAGGAGGAAAGTGGAGCCTAAACTAGCCCTTGGTCTGTCCACAGAGCAATGCAATATTATTTGGGGTTGCATACACCCTGGAGGAGCCACTTTATTCACATAAAGGAGTAAGCATGAGCTTTACAAGTATCACCACATCATTAGAGATAGATGAGGCCCATGACAGCAAAGGAGTGGTACTGAAAAAAAATCAAATATATTCTTCTGAACATGCTGGTTCTATGGCCTATTGTGTGTGCAGTTTGTTATAGAATAACCAAAATTCCCATAGTATCAGTGTAATTTAACCCCAAATGATTTAAGGTGAAATTGGTGGATTAGTTAATTCCTTTTAATTTTTATCATTCCTTAAGTTATTTACTCATTCTCCATTTACTTATTTACTTGTTCTTTCACTATTGTACTGTGTGTGTTTGTTAAGGTCCCAAAGTAGATATTAGAGAGTAATGCAGAGATAAATAAATATAACTCCAAGCCCCTGTACTGTTTCCCTGTAGACATATTACAGAGATTCCAGTATATTACTTATGAATCTCTTTGTTAATGTTTGTCTCCTGCCCCAGTCCATGAAGACCAGGTTCTAACTGCCTGTCTTGCACTGTATACCTACCTGTTGCCTGGGACAGGCCTGTCACCTTGCAGCCTCCCACTCAATACATAATTAACAAACAAATCAAACAAATAACCCTATCTCTCAAGGACTTTAGAATTAAATAGAGTGAGTGAGAGAAATACACACAAAAATGTAATAGAGCCAGGTATTTTTCTTGTAATCCCAGCAGCTTGGAAGGCTGAGGCAGGAGGATCAGGAGTTCAAAGCCAGCCTCAGCAATAGCAAGGCACTAAGCAACTCAATGAGACCCTGTCTCTAAATACAAAAAAAAAAAAAGAAAAAAAAAAAGGAATGGGGATGTGGCTTAGTGGTTGAGTGCCTCCCTGTGCCTTCAATCCCAGTACACACACACCTCCACCCCCTGCCAAAAATGTAATAGACAATACAAAAAGTCCCATGAAGGTAAATTAATATGCACTGAGACTGGAAGGACTTCTGCTACAAGAAGTTTGGTGACTCATTATGATTATGGGCCTTCCAGTAAGTGCAGGTCCCAAGAGGAGACTCTTACTGCATAGGATGTGTCTTTGCTTTAAGTCAGTAGAATCCATTTAGTATTTTCAAATATCTGAAACAAATGGAAACTGTTATATTGCTCCAGCAATATTGTGACTCTATAAGAGGTATTCCTCCTGTGGCCACCTGCTTAGTTATTTTTAATTCACCAATGATCTCTGACTACAACTAAAATGCAAGAGGAGGTAGTTGAGGTAGAATTTTAATAAGTAATATTGATCAGAGGAAAATATGAAGAATTGAAATAACCCATGGTTAGTGACTCATAGTAAAATATAAGCTCATACTTCCTGTATGAGTGGGAAATCAGGAAAATGTAGCCTTTTTGAGTTGAGAAAAATCTGTCCCCTTCAGGAGAATGATGTTGCCTCTTCTATATTTTGACTTTCATCTCAGGCCTCCTTTGCTAGAGATCAGAGTTCAAGGAAGGGGAGATTTCTTTGGGCTGAGATTCAGTAGTGGCTTTAGGTCTGTATTCTAATTGGGCCTTGAAGCCTGAAGACCACACTCAGGGGAGATAAGGAAGAGCATTTGGGAGGAGGCCCAGTTACGGGCAGCTACATGGCGGGAGGACGATGAAGGGGATATTTACAAAAAGCAAGTCTTCTAGTTTGGCTGAGCATAAGTGTCATGGAGTTAAGAGTTGGGTAAAAAGGATAAAAACATCACTTGGGACGAGATCAAAGGGAACACTGAGAGCAAGAAGTTTGAACTTTATTTTTTGGAGGCCATGGGGGAATTTTTGAACTTTTTGAGCAAAAGGTAGAATTTGCCTAAAGCCATGTGGTCAGCCTGGTGGCTTTGTGTGTGTCATTCCCATGCTGGCATTATTTATTGTACTATTTTTTAAAATTTAATTACATATCACTGTCAGTTCACTGGTTGTTATTTATGCCAAGCACATACTTGAGGGCATTCTGTTTGATGTAAAAAGCAGCCAGTAAGTGAGTATGTGCCACGAAGGTGCCACCCCCCACCTCATTTTCTCATTAAAAACAAAATGTAAGGACCTGGTGACTCCAGACAACTTATGGTTCTAATATACTAATGATTAAGTTCTCTTCTTACAAGACTTACTGTTTGGAAATTGATAGTTTATGGTTTGGATTTAAGTGCATTTTTACCTCTTTAAATGGTGATGTATGATAACCATTTGAATAAAAGAATAGCTGATCGACTGTACTTAGCCAGTCTCTGCCTGTTAATGCATCATTCAACATTCAAAGCCATGTGGATAAGGATGAATGCAAGATGGTGAGAGGCCATGACTGCTTCTTGGTGGAGTGCCACTCTCGTTCCATGGAACAAACTTGCCTGGTTAGGGTGTGGGTCTCATGAGTTCTGCTTCACTTTTGTTTCAGGGGTTATATCTTTTATGTTAGATGTCCAGACTGTAGGCATCAGCATACATCCTCTGCTCTTGATATAAATGCTTTCATCAAATAATTGTTAAAATAATGTATTAATGGTAATTTCACAAAATAATTATTGCTCAGGTGGAGGGAAATGGCTACATAGATATTTTTAAAGTTGACTTTAAATGTATCTATTGTATTCATTCATGATATTGTACCCAGTTCATAACTTCTCCTATTTTGTTTTCTTAATCTAGGTATTAGAAAGCAAGCTCAACTCCCAATGGATAAATCAGTGCCTGGTGTTCGAAGTGGGAAAAAATAGATTAGCTTCAGTAGGGTCTACATATTTTGAAAAAAAGAGAACAGAAAACAAAAAAGGAATTTTTGTTTGGACTGTTTTACAACAAAGCAAATAACTGGATTTGAACATTTAAGTTGGAATTATTTAGAAAGTTTTAAAATACTTCTTCACAGTACTTGTGAGTTAACACAATGTTTCAATTCCATAGTTGCACAATTGGCTATTTCAAAGAAATACAAATGTCTTATGTTCCTTTTGAAATTCTGATACAAAAGGGAAAATAATATTTTGAAGAATGAGCCAAAATTGCTTTGAACTGATTATCCTCTAAAGTGCTGGAACTTGAGTGAAACATAATGGTAATACGCTTGTAGGTGTTTTAGTGTAGATTAATTTAGAAATGATGATCCTACTATTTAAACAGATATGGACACATTTGGTGCTGAGGAAGGAACAAACACATTACTATTGGTGTCAAGAAATATTATATAGCAGAGGAATGGCAATATATGTATCCAGATAGTTACATCCCTATATAAAAATTATGTTTACAGTTTTTAAATTAGTAGGTAACTTTCTTTCTGTCAAGGGCACAATTTCATTCTGATTTGAGTCAACTTTTGTTTTGGAATGAATTAGGTAATTGAGCTGCCCGATTCCTGTCTGTTATTTGTTGATGCTCCTCTCCACTCTTAGTTTTTCTATAGGCAGAGACATTTTAAGTGGCATTCTTAAAATTACCATTCTGAGGACTGATCTACATAGGACATCTGTGTAACTCAGAAGTCATTCTGATGATAGCTAGGATACATCCAGACATGATATACATTTAAGCATATTGAAGTGTAAGCCAAATTAAAATTTCCTTGCTGATATAAAAATCATACAAAAAGTCTCAAAAACCACACTGTCTCTCAAATATAAAAAAAAAAAGAATGATGAAAAACATGTTAGGATTTTCAACTTTTCTGCATGTCTTAAATTTTCAGCTATTAAAAAGAGTAATGCTAAATATCTTTAAATTATCCAGAACAGACGATATAGTATGTGTGCACTATGGGAAAATCATGCTAGGTTATTCAGAATTGGTCATACATGTTTTTGTGTGTCTTAAATATAGTCCAGATTAACAAGGCACATAGCATTATATATTTGAGGTGTGGATAAGGGAAAAGAAAGTACTTTCTGCAAAACCAAGGAATACTCCATAATGAGACAGCTGTGATTTTTATTTTAAACTGTGAAACTGTGTGCAACAACAGAATTTGGAAAATCTGTCTTTTTCTTAAATTCAAAAAGTGCAGGAAGAAATCAAGTTAGACTTTTAAGTTAATGGTGCTTTAGGAGAAGTTTTTCCTATATTAAGCAGTGTTAAAATCTCAAGTAAGACGTTTCCAGTACTAGAATATGTTAGGTAGAGTTTTAAAAGTGAGTTGGCATCCTGTCATATATGTCATAGAGTTGTAAAGTCAACACCAATTACGAATAATCATTCTGCGCTCACTGGGTACACAGCATGGTAAAAGGGATGAGAGGTGGACAGTCATCAAGGGACAGATACAGTGGTATGCATTGTCCTTGTTTGTCAGAGCACACAAAGCAAATACAGACAGAATTTTCATTGAGGTAGTATTTGAGCTATGAGATAGGTTCTGTGATGTACCTCTTTTTTCCTTAAATTGCTTTTTAGTCTTAAGATGGTAGAATGATCCTTTCCAATTGTAATCTTTTCTAATAGAGATAGTTTAATATACTTGCTTTATTAAATAACAAAAACTACTGTCAGTATTAATACTGAGCCAGACTGGCATCTATAGATTTAACATCTATTGTTTCATTAAGATTATTACCCCTGTATTATAAATTATCCAATATCATGACCTTTGGATGTATAAGAGAAATCACATTTACAATTATTTCAGTGAGACCCTTTATCTGTCTCTCCATCCATTGCCCTTTGAGGACCTAATAAGCTAGATACTCACATGTAAGACATTGATACATAAAATAATACTGTCCCTAACCTCAATAAATATGAAAAATGTCATTATCCATTAGGTTCGCTTTATTTCATTTTTTAACAACCTACAGTACATGTTTATAACATTTCAATTTTAGGCACTATTATTTTTCATGACATGTTTTAAAAAATAAGTTAACAGTTAATGAGTACATGAATGTATATATTTCTAATAATTAAAATATGTTTTGAATTCCTGAAATGTCCACCTTTTAAATATAGCATGTACTCTTTGGTTGATTCTGCAAAAAAAAAAAAAATGTATTTCAATTAAGAAGCTAAAGATTCTTGCTTATTCCTTATGTGAACATTTCTCCCCTTTCCATCATCCCTCAACATTTACATATAAATGATAAGTTTTGATTTAACACACAATATTTTTTAACCTCACAGGGTCTTGTCTCTGAATAACCATCAATACTCACAGATAATGACTAGCTGGTAACAATTATCAATCTATTATTAAACTCTAAATTTTTTACAAAAAGGAAGTAGAAATGATATAAAGAATGTTGAGTACTGAGAAGAGACTAGATTTTACAGAAATAAAGCCTGTGAAAATGGAAAATAATTTAGTGAGTCTACTATCTGACATATATTATTAAGTGCTCTCATAATTATTCAGACCACATCTGTCTTAAAGATGTCTTGGCCTTTGAGGTGAAGAGTTAGTCTCCCAACAGTGCCATAACATATATGAATATTCAACTTGCCTATTTCCAGAAAATCTTTATATTTTTATACTATAATTTTATTTACAATTTCTATCTAATTATTCACTAGGCATTATTTGTAATAACATTTATTTTGCTCTTTGGAATCTCATAGGACAATCACATTTATAAACATTCCCAATATTTGATATTAGCAGTTCACTAAAATTTTCCTAGAACTTGAGAATTAATGTTTAAGAGACAACATGAAAATGTTTATTTCCTGGTCAGGATATGTTTCCTTTTAAAAATAACTTTTTTTGATACTAACAAGAATATTGATAAAAGTACCCTTTTCTATATCTTTTATTTTTAAAATTCATATTCACAATCAAATACATGCAACCTGCAACTTAGATTTCATTCCCAGCCACCCAAAGTACTGGGTCATTTTTGAAAACAACATTTCATTTATCCTTCAAGCTAAAATGGTGCTGACTTATTTCAACTTGAATGTAAAATGCTTTAAGTCTTAGCTCACGGGTTATAAACAATTAATATAAAACTGTTTGCTGGGAACTAAGTGAGTGTCATTTGGTATTATAATGTTGTTAATAAAATTTTAATTTCTCCCAAATTTTTCAGGAATTCTATCTGTAAAACTTTTGTACCTTTTTGAAGAGCTTTTATTTTAAATGCCCAGACACTGGCTTTATATTCTTCTTTGCATTCTCATATTCTTTTATTATATGCCTATACTATGATTGCAATATTATATAAAATGCCTTGAATAAATGATTTCAAGTGTCAATAGTGATCATTTGTTGTTATTTTTTAAACAAACAAACCTTGATTTGGGGTGGAGATTTGTTGTTACATATAAATTTAAAATCTGAATTTCATTTTTAGTTAGAATATTAAAAGCTGTATATGTGGTTGGTGGTCTTGCTTAGCTGCTTTTTGAATTAATAAATTATTTAGTAAGATTGTTTGCCTTGAAGCTAATCTAGGATGAACAAAAATCTAGCTGATGTCTTAAAATAGATTCTATCATACATGAATCATACATACTATGCATGAATGTGTCCTAACTTTTGTCACAATTACCAGCTACTTTTAAGGACACAGAGTGGGGATTGCAAAAACAATCATACTCTTCTTTTATGATTTACAAGGAATGCCTATGGACATACAGATATTTACCTAAGGGACACACAATTCTAGCTAAAAATTATTTATGTAAAGAGAAACATTGCTATCATAGTAATCTTCAAATTTGTACCAGATTAGCCAGGGAGCTGGCAACCTGAGAGGGCAAACATGTCCCAAACTGTGAGAAGAGTCTGTAAAAGGAATCCACAAAAACAATTCACCCTTAAGTAGCTCTTGCAAGTAAAACAGATGTAAACTTGTGGCTGGAAATTTGCAGATCTCAAATATCACATAAGTGATATTTGAAACTAATAAGTTCTTGTGTCCCTCTCCCGCTGAAGGCAGAGCATCTCAATATAGTTTAGTTACTAATGCCAAAGATGGTTTCCTGGGTTTCATCAGTATTCAGTATCATTATTAGCTTATGAATCAAAGAGATGGCAGATCTTTCCTTTTTGCCAGAAAAACTTTGCTGCCTTTATGTTACTTATTTATCTAAATTTCCAATCCCTGCTACATGTATTAGTAGAGAGCTAACATACTTTAAATAAATTACTTTCATTTAAACAACACCCTTGTACTATACTTTTTTTAAATTTGCATAAGTAAAATAGTACTTGCATAGGACTTGGAAAATATTGATTTCCTAAAGCATATACAGTTGTCTCTCAGTCACTCTGGGGGATTGGTTTCAGGAACCCCAATGGATACCAAGATCCAAGGATGCCTGAATCCCTTATATTAAATGGCATGGTATTTGCTTACAATATATTCCCTTTATCTCGTATACTTTAAATCATCTCTAAGTAACTTATACAGACATACCTTGTTTGTGCCTCACTTTATTGTGCTTTATAGAAATTTCATATTTTTTTTTTACAAATTGAAAGTTTATGACAACCCTGCATCAAGCAAATCTGTCATTGCTATATTTTCCAATGGCATGTGTTAATTTCATGTCTCTGAGCCACACTCTGGTAAATTTCACAACATTTCAAACTTTTTATTTATTATTATATCTGTTATTAGTGGTCTTTGATGCCATGAACCACACCCATAACAAAGTAAGTATGGGAAATATTATCTCTATAGTGGGGATTTCCAATACATATTGCCATATTAAACATTCTGCAAAGTCCTACTGTAAAGAAACCACTTCATCTTTGTTACTCAGTGTTATGCAAACTTTTTTTTTGTTGTAAGTCCTTTTGTTTTGGTTTGGTTTTAATAGCATTTATCCAATCAAACTTTTTGGGGGAGTTTGGAAAACTCTGGTGTTTGTCATATGGAATAATTTCCAATTCATAGAAATGAGATAATTTGCAAATTACTTAAAACAAATAAATGATAGTGGCAGCATTTGAGCTGTAGGACACAAAGTTACCTAAAACCTGCCAATTTGTTACCTGACTTGCTTCCTAAAAACTAGTTGAATGGGACCCTTTTAGTAGAAAGCCTTCCAACCTTTAAGGCATTTTCTATCTTAGGAGAGAGATCTTTCCTATTGCTCAAATGACTTGAATGCTTTTATTAAAATCTTATTAAAAATCTTTTTTCTTTCAAATCTTACTTACTTTTAACTCTCAGATTGAACCCATCATGTTCTTTGTAGACCATTTATTTTGTACATTCAAAATTATTTACATCATACATAATTCTATAATTTAAGTTTCAATAAAGTTTGATGCTATACACAGGAAGCAGGGAGAAATAGGATCAGAATGAGTAATTTAGAAGGGCGTATGCATGTATATACACAGTTTTACTTTCTGTGGTTTTAGTTCCCATGGGTCAGCCATGATTGCAAAATATTACATGGAAAATTCCAGAGAAAAACAGTTCATATGTTTTAAATTGTGTACCATTCAAAGTAGTAGAATAAAATCTCATGTATTTCTATTCCTTCCTGTGAGGACATGCATCATTCATCTGTCCTGCATATCCACACTGTATATGCTACCTGCTCATTGGTCACTGAGAACCATCACAATTGTCATATCACCACAGAATTTTTGTTCAGGTAATCCTTATTTTATTTGAAAAATGACCTTGAAGTACAAGAATAGTGATGTTGGTAATTTGGATATGCCAAAGAGAAGCCATAAAATGCCTCCTTTAAAGAAAAGGTGTAAGTAACACTTCTATTACAACATATTGCTATAATTGTCCCATTTTATTATTAGTAGTTGTGGCTAAATATCTTACTGTGCCTTACTTATAAATTAAACCTTATGATAGGTATGTATGTACAGGAAAAACACAACATACTATAGCATGTTATCCAAGATTTTAGGCATCCACTGGGTATCTTGGAATATATCCTCAGCAGATAAGGAGGACTAATGTATTTATAACTTATTGTCAATAATTTGTTTGCTGTTTAACTATGGGAAGTAAGCATTGATTTTGGAGAGAAAAAAAAATAGAGCCACAAACCAAAAAGAGAACCATAAATACAATAACGAGGAAAATACATGTGTCTCTGTTAGAAATACCATATTGCTGATTCCTAATTTATTTATATACAAAGACAAACCAGAGTTCATGACATAATCGTATATCATAGAAACCAAAGACAAATATAATGATAGAGCCTTATAAAAGATATAGTCCCTTTTAAAAAATGAATCAAAAAATATCAGGTCTTCACTATGCACATTTTTACTGAGCTAATGCATAAATTTTGAGTGATGTTGGTGATTCAGATATGCTAGAAAAGCAATAATGTGCTTCCTTGAAGTAAAAAGGTAAAAGTAACACTTTTGTTATCACATATTGTTATAATTGTCCTATTTTATTATCAGTTGTCATTATTAAATCTCTGTGTCTACTTTATAAATTAAATTTTATGATAGGTATGTATCATATACAGAAAACATAACATACTATACATAGGGTTTATTATCATCAAGGATTTCAGGCATCCACTGTGGGTTTTAGAATGTATCCCTTGCAGATTGGAACCAATATTATCAGTAAGTTTTTGCAAACTAGTGAGATACACTGTTGCCATATGCCAAACACTAGAATCAGTCTTTTTTGTTGTTGTTGCTGTTAGAGTGATTGTTTTTAGAGGGAGGACATTAGGGAGAAAAAAAGTCTTTTAAAACAAATCTATAGTTGGGTTACTCTTGGGGCTAAGATTCATGAGTAAAAAATAGTTGTGATCATTTGACTTTCATTTTAGGACTCTTTGGTTTTTGTTGACAGGGATATATGTTAAACTTGTTTAGTCAAAGAGTAATTGTGGTGCTGGGCATTGAATTCAGGGGAACTCTACCACAGCTACATCCAGTGTCTTGCTAAGTTACTGAGGTTGACCTCCAACCTTGCTATCCTCCTGCCTCCAACACCTGGGTATCTGGAATTATAGGTGTGCACCACCATACCTAGCACTAAAAGAGGAATTTGTAAACTCATACAAGTAAAGGACAAAGGTGAAGTTTTTTGGAGGAGCAATGGAATAAGAAAATGGAATGTCAAGACCATGATCTCTCTGCCACTTCTTTCTTTGTGTATCTGTGAATCTACTCCATTCTCTTGGTTTCATTTCTCCATAAAGATTGAATCCTTATTGCCTAAACACCTAGCTACACATCTATATAACTTGTTGACCAGAAAGAAAATGGCATAAGTGCATAGTTACAGTTTGAAAAGTTTGGGGAAGGCCTTTCCTAGGCTCATTCTGTATCATGTGTAAATCTTTGATCCAGTTCTTGTGAATTCTATGACTGGTCTGGCTGGAGTCAAGTGTTCTTCCTTTTGTAGCCTCTGATGTGAAGGAGGAGGGGGTCAAGTAAGAGAAGAGCTGCTGCCACCCAAATCACATGAGGGTAAGGAAGGATGGAGACAAAGGGATTACCCAGAAAGGGAGTTATTTATTAGGGATACTATCAATGAAAAGTTTATTGGGGGCCAGAAATTACTTAATTTTGTGTTCTGCAAAAGAGATGAATAAAATAATATCTACGCAATCCAACAACAAATGTTTTCTTCCAACTTGCTCATCACCTAATTTCTGTTGAGAACCCCCCACCCCCACCCTGCACTGTTCTCAGTATCTAAGTGCTGAATTTTCCTCCAGAAAGAAGCAGGAACACCTTCCTCTCCTTTTCCCCATTTCCTTCCCCTGTTGGAAGGTCTAATAGTCTGCTCCCTCCCACCCCATCTTCTGTTTCATAAAGTCCTGGTAGGGCATCTCAGAAAGGAAGCCCATCCTTACAATGGAAAGACCACAGTTCCTTCTTATCCAACCAGTCACAATGGAGCTCTAGAAAGGATCATCAATCCAAAGAAAAAAGGAGAAAGAATGAGCAAGGGTGGTGGAGGGGGTGAGGAGAGGGAGAGAGAGAGATTCTTTCAAGCTTTTGCTCCTCCAATTGCTACCTGTTCCCAGTGACTTCCTCTACCATTCTTCTTTCTTGTTCTTATTTGACTTCCAGTGAGAAACTTCCACTGAAAGGATTCATTAGGGTACATTGCTCTCTCTAATTATATTAGTACAATATGATATCTTTTTTTTTTTCTTCCCAAAGGAGTAGAGATGGAACCTAGGGCCTGGCAAACACTAACCACAGAGCTACACCCCCAAACTATGTTTTATTTTGAGACAGGATTTCACTAAGTTGCCCAGACTGGCCTCTAACTTTGGATCCTCCT